AAGCTATTGTAAAATTTTATAATAAATTAAATGAAAATAAATTAGGAAGAAGATGATGATTAATATTAAAAGATAAATTTATTAATCATGGGTACAAAATTAATATTGAACATATTAAAGGAGAAGATAATTATATAGCTGATTATTTATCCAGAACTATAACTAATTCTTGATTATAATTTTCAGATGAGACCAGGAAACAATCCTAGAGCAATTATGTATAATCAAGAACAATAGCAGCGTATCCTAGAACAGAATCCTTATCAAAGACCAGTAGAACAGAAAACTGTAATACCAGCTACAAACAATTTAAATTTTGGTAATGTTAATCTCCAAATATACCCCAGTTCTAATATATCTTTCAGACCACTAGTAGGACAAACTTTTACATTGGAACAGAGATGTATTTTAGATAATTTATGGGTCTCATTTAATAAAGAACCTAAAGATAGAAAACATTTTATAGCAGCCATGAATGCTTTAGGATATACTTTTAATTTAAGCCAAGAAAGATTTAGATTTTATGTTGTGTTTGAAGGTAATAATCCTGGAGTCTTTAATTCTTGGATAGATGTTGTAAAATCCACCAGAAATTTTAAAAATCCAAAGTATAAAGGTTTTCATACAATAGATGAAGCTTTTTCTGCTGCAAGATCTTTCCCAGGTCCTCATTTTCATATCCATCCTTCTCTCAGAATTTTTACTGAACCATTACCATATCTAAAAGATTCCAGTAGTCAGACAAAAGTTATATTTTGTGATCATTGTGAGATCTTATCCAGAATGATCAGAAATCTTAATGAGGAGAGAGAATATCTTGTTGAAGAAAGAGAGAGACTTCTGAAACAAATATTTATATTACAACAAGAAGTAAATAAATTTCAGCAAGAATCTTATGGTTTCCCGGCCACAAAAGCGGGTGAGATAGATAATTGCTCCCTTCTGAGCAATCAAGAAGCTAGCATAGAAGCAGGTTCTATGCTTTCACAAGCTCAAACGATGCATGTTGATGAAAAAACAAATCCGTTAAAGGCTGTGGCTTTGCCAAAAGCCAAGAAGAAAATACTTTAGAAATATTAAAGAGAAAAATAGAAGAGATATTAAACGCACAAAAGGAGATCAGACAGCTAGTAGAACCAGAAAAAGATAAAGAAGAAGAAGACATATCCTCACCAATCTCTGGAGATTCCATGGACACAATTGAAAGACAGAACATTGGAGACAAAGTCTAGGCATCAGACCCTATAGCCTAGCCATCAAGACTCTATATTCTAGCCATCAAGACTCTATACTCTTGCCATCAAGACTCTATGGAAGTTTGTCAGAAGAAAAGAAAAGTTTCGGCAGAATTATGATCACAGAATTTGGGAAGATAATCTTTAACAGTGAAAGTCGACAGGCTTTTTTGTAAATTTAAGTGTCGGCAGGGTTTTTCTAAAAAAAAAAAAGTCTTTTTGTCAGGAATCAGTCTTTTGAATCTGAAGTGGCGATGGGGCCCAATGAGCACCCGACTCAGAAAAGACAGGATTCCTCATTTTATTTTAATTTTAGTTTCAATTCCGTGTCTATAAATAGGGAGTACTATCTAATTGTAGAATATATATCGAGTGAATTGTGCAAGTACCCTGAGATAACAACCTCCATGTGTTCATCTCTGTAATCCTTCTCTGTTTATAATAAAAATATTTTATTTGCTGAAAACATAAGCTCGCTTTTATTCTCTCAGTTCCTCTAGACATCTTTCGGGGATTTCCGAAAGGGAAATCCTTCTCCTTTCCTAAGGTATTACCATGTCTTCTTAAAAGCTTTTATTTTACGCATATGCTTATTCTTCCTCTTGTTAGTTTCTCTTATGTATATTTTATATTTTCTCATAATATAAAACTGAGTTAGGTAGTCTTGCCCTGTCTGGTATGATTAACTGTTCACCAACCTAATGGAGCCAATAAGTGACCTACATAATTAATTAAAGTAAAGATTAAGGTCCATGGTAAATGTAGTTAGGATAAGTGAACAGTAACATAACCTTGCGGATAGGATGTAGAGCCTAGCTAAAAAAAAAAAAAGAGAGAGTCTGGAATCGGCCAACTCCGACCCAAGCCTACAAACTTGGTATCAGAGCATGGTTCATTCTAGGCACCAAAAAGTACTATAATAAAAGACATGGGAAACAATCTTAGGATGTGGAAAGGAGAGTACTGAGTAGGATAAAAGTCATTATAAAAATTTCAAATCAAATCAGTTTAGAATTTTTCTGGATCAAATTCAAAAATTTTATTATAAATCATTTCTACGGAAAAACACAACAAAAATCAGAGTGGGAATTAGAAACTTTCTTTTTACAAGATAACACTTTAGAAAATCCATTAAAATATAGATATTATAAATATTTGTGTTCTATAGTTGACTGCATAGATACTAATCATCCTAAAGATCATTTAATAAAGACTGTTTTGAAAAAGAATTTTAAAGAATTAGAATTTAACGAAGAAGAGTATTATTACTTTCAGAATATTTACGAAGAAGAAGGATTTGTATTGTTTGACGAACATAGTTTACCTTCTACAAGTTATTACGATTCAGATTATTATTATTCAGACTAAAATTTTATGCATATATTAGATATAGCCTTTGAAAGATTTAAAAAAGAATTAGTCTTTGTATTTAAAAATTATACAGAAGGACAATATTACAAAGAGTTGTGGACTTTTTTAGACAGTGATAATCATCATTATTTAAAATATAGTTATATTAAATTTCTAAAAATAGTAATAGATATTATAATAATTGATCATAATAAACAATCAGAACTAAGACAAATATTAAAACCATATTTAGAAGAAGTTGATTTAGCAGGATACACATATTTTAATTTTGGAGAGTGGTTCGAAGAAGAAAATAATTTTAAGTCTGAATACAAGTTGTTATTTGAAAGTGAATCAGAATCAGAATAGACAAATTATTAAAAGAAATAAATAATAATTTAGATTATATTAAAACTACAGAAGAAATAATACTCAGAAGAATAAATAAGATAGATATAGAAAGTTTACCAACAAAGACAGATATTCAACAATTAATATTAAGTTTAGAACAAAGAAAACCAAAACCAATAGAAAAAGATATATATCAGTTTATAGAAAAAATAAATAATAAAGAAAATATTTTAGAAGAAAAAATTATAAAAATAGAACAGTTAATATAAGAATTATTAGTTTATGTCAAAAAACTTTAATTTTGGAGAAGAATTAGAAAAAATAAAAGCATATACAGAGGAAGATTATAATAAAGGTTTCTTTAAAACTTTAGATATAACATCTAAAGGAGATAAAACCATAATAGCACAAAATAATTTAATTATACAACTATTAGTTACATTACACCAAAGAATAACAAATTTAGAAAGTCATTTATTGAAAAGACAAGAAATAGATATAGATAATCTTGTAGAAGAATTTGATAAAAAATTAAAACCTACACAACCAAGACCTAAGAAACAAAAACAATCTTGTAGTTTTTTAGTTTATAAAAATGAATAATACATCTTTTCCTGGAACTAGTAGAACAATTATAGACCAGCCTAGAAAAAGTACTAGTTTTAGATCACCTCTTGAGATATTCAATATTAAAAATAAAGATAAAATAAAATTAGAAGAAGAAATAGATATAGATAAAAATATAGAACAGTTTAGAGAATCTGTTCTAAAAATATTAGAACATAAAAGATTATATGAAGTAGGAAGATTCACTATGAACACAGGACTATTTAGAAATTATTCAGAAGAACAAGTGTCATGTGTAGGAGACCAAGTAGTAGTTTTAGATTGCATGAGTAAAAAAGCCAAAGAACAATTAAAGAAATCTCATAAAAATTATATACATACAGGATTATTTATTATAGGAGTAAAAGGATTAGTAAGAAGTAGAACTGGACGTAAAGTGTTAGTGACTCTTTTTGATAAAAGATGGGGTAAAGATGTACAAAGATCATTAATATCCTTAATTGAAGTAGATTTAAATAGTGATGTAGGACTTTTTTATTGCACTCCTAATATGACATTACCTATAGAAGATTTTTGTAAAAGTATTAAAATAGGAATACGAACTAAAGGATTTGAAGAATTTATAAGTGGCAGTAATTTAGTAATTACGATAGGATTTTATTACAAAAACTATAATCTCCTTTTAATTGTTTTGCTATTTGTATTTCTGAACATTTTTCTTTTAGACAGGACATTATAAAACTACATCTAATGGTTACATTATCAAAATGTGGTAAAATTTGATACATAATGTTTTCTTATAGTCTTTGTTGCCATTTTTTTATAAATTTCTTCTCCTAGTGGGCCTGGTAATTTACTAAATAATTTTTCTCCTATTTCTCTATTAAATATATTTCATGAAATAGAAACATTATAAGTAAAATCTTCTAAGAATTGTTTTATATATTGCCAATTTTTAATAGTCATTTGTTCTAATGCTTTTACTGCTTCATACTGTATCTTAATCCGTCCTGAATTATGATCTTGTCCAGTGCATAACATATGTATTTTATTAATAAAATTGAATGGATTTGTTCCTAATGATAAAATAGTATTTATCTCTTGCGGGTATTCTTCTTTAAATCTTTCCCATATAGCTTTTACAGATTCTCCTAAAAATGTTTCTAAATATCTTAACATTTCTTCTGGATTATGATCACAGAATTTGGGAAGATCACTTTAAATATGGAAAATCATGATCATACAAAGGTGAAAATAAATATAAATTATTAAATTAGGGAAATCATGACCATACAAAGATGGTAATAAATATAACCGTTGGATCAACATAATCGATCTAACGGTAAAATTGATTGGTAGTAGTAACACAACTTGGTTGTCACAATATCTTTCCCTGTTAAAATCTATAAAAAATTTTATTAAAAGAATCTTTTAAAATGTTAACCCACTGCACACCTTAAGAAAACAGGGATTGTAACAGTGTTTAAGTAGAAGGGTTTTTTCTTTGGTTGTCCCCTGCACCGTCTTTGTCTCGTCTTTCTTCTTGTCTCTTCTCTTCTCTTTGCACTCCGCAGAAGAGAGAGAAACATCGAACAACACTTCCAATCTCTCTCTCTCTCCTTTTCTCTCTCACTGATATGCAGCAAACTGATCAAACGGTCCTGAGCTTGAGGCCTGGCGGTGGTCGTGGCGGCGGAAGTAGGCTTTTCGGTCTCTCTTCAATCTCATCATCTTCTCCTTTTTCCGCTGATCTTCCTCTCTTGCGTCCTCATGGCGTTGCTCCTTCCTCTTTCTTTCTCAAGGTCCTTTTTTCTCGATCTGCCTTTTTCTTCTTTCACTTGCTTATATTTTTAGTTCGTTGCTTTTAATTTTTTTTATTTTTTCGGTATAATCTCTCTCTCTCTCTTTTTATATAATTTTTTTTTTATTTGGATCTCATTGAGTATATCAACTTCATAAGCTAAAGTTTTTTCTTTTTTTAATTGTGTTTTTCATTGAGGTGTAAGGTTTTATGCTCAGGTTTAAGTGGTACTCGAGATTTATGCGAATGTTTTTTTTTTCTGTTCAATGACGATTAGATTTGAGTGTTTTGTGGATTTTAAAGTGATTTGATTTGATTGGAAGAATCCATCACAAGAACCAAACATTGGAAGATATATGATATATCTCTCATGGTTATTGTTTTTGTACACTGTTTAATGGATAGGAATGGAAGTTAAGTTCCGTAAGAGTAAAGGAAAATCTGAAGTTGAATGTCCTAATTCTTGGTGGGGGCACTCAGTGTGTGTTCCAGCTGTAAATACGGACATAAAGCAAAGTGTGGGCTTTAGGTGGGCTTGATTAAGTTTTGAACTGCCCATAAAGGACCCACATACATCGTTACATAATTTAAGCTAGTGTTTGAGGGGTTGTGTTAAATCTCTCAGCTACCTGACATACTAAGTGATTCTATTTACACCATCAATATGTTTGTTACTGATGAATTTATTGAAAAGTAAAACAGGTTTATCCATATAAATATTATAAGACAGATTGGTTTTTATTCCATTTCATATATAGTTCTTGCTTAATGATTTTTATAATAGTAATTCATAAAGGACGTGGCTGCAAAACAATTGAAAGAGGTTTTTTTTTTTTTTTGCGCACAACTTAGTTAATTGAAGTTTTCATCGGATACTATCCTATTCATCAACCTCACTTGTCTTGTGAGGTGTGCGTGTGTGTGTGTATTTGCTTGTATGATGAGTTTGGACTATGTTAAGAAATTTGTTTCTTAGTACTATTGGTTTTATAGGCTGGAGATTCACGGTTTGAGGGTCGTGAGCGTGTGCAATATACCAGAGATCAGATTTTACAGCTTAGAGAGGTAACTGTTATTTGCTCTTTCAGTTTAAATTTTGTTTTAATTCTCTATACTCTTTATGTGATATCAAATTCTTTTAATTTTATTTTACTGTTCATCCTTCTGCTGCCTTTTTCTTGATTGATTTTAAGCTTGATACTAGGCTGCTATATTCCTAGTGATCCATAATATGTGGTGTAGAATCAACATTCTGTGATGGCTACTGGATTTTTCTATTTTATTTTATTTTTTTGATTTCTTTGCATGTCCTCTTTGTCATACGTCTATTTATGCTTTTTAGAGTTCAATAAAGGCTGTACCTCTTTGTCATGCGTCTATTTATGCTTTTTAGAGTTCAATAAAGGCTGTACGTATTTTTTGTTGTTGGAAGTTTCTGTCCATTAGAAGGCAGACAATGTCTTTTCATTCATTTTTCTCCCTCTTTCCCCTCCTGTCTACATGAAACTGCTTATGAAAGTGCATAGTTCAGTGTTCTGTCGTGATTAATATAAACATCTAAGCTAATATTTATGTTTTAACGGTTGTCTGACTGTTGAACCTTTTTACTCATAGGCTGTTGAGGTTCCCGATGATATTATAAAGATCCAACAAGATATAGAAGCTGAACTTTTTGGTGAAGATCAAAGTTGGGGCCATGTTGAAAACAATGTAACTGTCTTTTCCATCATCTAATTATATTGTAAACTTCGCTAAGAACCATAAATTCTCTGTCCTCCCTTTGGTAAGTTGATTTGGGTTGACTTTTTTGGTGGAGAATATACTTGTTGTATCATATGTAGAGAGGATTTTTCAATAAGAAAAAATAATTCATGTTTGTATACCATACTGATACTGATATAGTTTTATTTTGATTGGTGCAATCAAATGTCATCTGTTTTATGAATTTATCTGTAATCATTTTGACGGTAATAATATCAAATTTTCTATAATAATGTTTACATTATCTTCTGCAGCCTCCTCGACAATTACAAAATCGATATTCTGAACCAGATAGCCGTGACTGGCATGGTCGCTCTGGACAACTTCCTGCTAATCCTGATGAGAGGTCTTGGGAAAATCTCAGAGATAACAGGGAGTTTGGTAATAGATTTGATTCTAGACAGCAGGATGCTAGTCAGGTTAATCGCCAAGACCAACTTAATTCCCAGTTTGCAAGGACACAAGGGGTAAGCCAAAATAAAAGATATTGGTTTTTTAGTTAATGTGTTATGAGTTTGAATTCAATGTTATTGTGAAACTCTTTAGCCTATCAGTGAAAAAGAAAGAACCACATCATTGCAGTAACTAAGGTTCTTTCCTTGGTGTAAAAGCTTCTATGTGGCATCATATGGTTCAGTGATAGTGTACAATGGATCAAACTTAAATTCTATCTGTTATGTTATCTTTAAAGTTTTGAACATCCTTTTATGTCCTTCTGAAACTTGTTTCATGAGGATTTGGTTACATGAGGTTTTTCAAAAAGAAAGAGAGGCCATAATTACATTTATTGTTCATTGATGTATCTATTTATTATTTCAAAAAAATGTTTGTTACAAATAACTTGATGAACCTGCGACTATGATTTACATGTTTGATATTTTTTTTAATGTATGGCCTCCCCGGCATGCCATGCATCTTGATCAAATTGGAAATGGGTTGTAATAATTACCACTTAAATTGCTTATTTACTTGATGGGATTAATATGTTAATAATTAAAATTATCTGGCTTTTCTTGTATTTTTTTTTTTTGTGTGGTGGTTATCGAAGTAGCCTGATGTCCTTTTGTCCATGTATCGATGTCCATATCCACTTTAGATTTACTATTGATTTGATCATTTTATTTACCTGCATTTGGAGTTTGTAGTTTTACTTTGGAACAAAGTACTAAGTTGTACTTTGAAGTTCTAGTATGTAATTACAATTATCAAAGGTCTTGATTTTGTGCTGGACTGCTGTTAAAGGATTACATTATAATTTATAGCTATGTGATATTCTTCTGAAGTCTGTCATTCCTCCTTAGGCTTGTAACTGATGATGAGTAAGTTGTGTTTGGTGTTACTAGAGTTACTTGATGAAGTGATTTAAAATAATTGTCATACACTCATACTTATACTAGAAGTTTATTAGATTGCATTATAGTTTGTACAATCCTTCATGGCTTACCTATTAAATTTGGCATGATGAATTGTTTTGTATCTTTTTATAATCTACTGTCTCTTTATTTATTCAGGGAGGACCTACTCCTACTCTAGTCAAGGCTGAGGTCCCATGGTCAGCTAGAAGGGGAAGTCTCTCTGAAAAAGATCGTGTCTTGAAGACTGTGAAAGGGTAATAGTTTTTAAATACTTGTGAATAACAATTAGACATGGGTGTGCTTTTAGCTGTGATATGTGGTAGTTTACTGGGTTGTCATGTATGCCTGAGTCTTAACTTCCTTACTTGCCTTAATTGTTAAGTAGTTGCTCTGGTGGTGTTGGGAAGCAGGTGTAACAAAGCTTCGATCACGAACAGTTTAAGGGATTAACTCATCAATTATTAAATATAAAAGTTTGACAAATAATTCTATATTTTTGGCAAAAGTTTCTTGGTACTTTTTTTCTTGTATAAGAATTATTTTGGAAACTTAACTTCTAAAGCTTTCTTCAGACATGTAACTCTGTTAGGGGCCTTTGGAATTGTATGGCTCCTGCTATTTATATAGAATTGGATGGCTCCCTATGTTAATTTGCTGTTGTCTTATTTTATGCAGAATATTAAATAAGTTAACTCCTGAGAAGTTTGATCTCTTGAAGGGTCAGTTAATCGATTCTGGCATTACGTCATCTGACATCTTGAAGGTCACTCTTCGATGGCTGTTGTCAATCTATTTCCGTTCACATCCTTGTTCTAAATTGACTTGCTTCGCTTTGTGAGTGCAGGGTGTCATTTCACTTGTATTTGATAAGGCTGTTCTAGAACCTACATTTTGCCCCATGTATGCTCAGTTGTGTTCAGATCTTAATGAAAAGCTGCCTCCATTCCCATCTGAAGTACCTGGTGGGAAAGATATCACTTTTAAGAGAGTACTCCTGAATATCTGCCAGGAGGCTTTTGAAGGTGCTTATAATCTGAGGGAAGAAGTAAAAAAGCTGACTGCCCCTGAGCAGGAGATGGAGCGTAGGGACAAGGAAAAACTGATCAAGCTTCGTACCCTTGGAAATATACGTTTAATTGGTGAACTATTGAAGCAGAAGATGGTTCATGAAAAGATTGTCCATCACATTGTTCAGGTTCTTACAGTAATTAGACTTCACTTTTACATAATATAAATTGGTGTTGGTTTGGGGTGTATCCACTCATACGCATGGTTGTTACTTGGAACAGGAGCTTTTAGGACAACCAGAGAGCAATTCTTGTCCAGCTGAGGAAAATGTTGAAGCCATATGTCATTTTTTCAATACCATTGGCAAGCAGCTTGATGAAAGCCCTAAATCACGGCGTATAAATGATATGTACTTTAGTCGATTGAAAGAACTGAGTACAAATCCTCAACTGGCACCGCGCCTTAGGTTCATGATTCGGAATGTTTTAGATTTGCGTGCTAATAACTGGGTTCCTAGACGTGAAGAGGTAAATTTATACATTTTGTTTCTGTGATATGTTATGCTCACTAATGTTAAGACCACTTGTTATTGATCAAGTTTTAATGCTGACTTATGTAGGTGAAAGCCAAGACCATCACAGAAATTCATTCAGAGGCAGAAAAGAATCTTGGATTGCGTCCAGGTGCCACTGCTAGTATGAGAAATATCCGTGGCGGTGTTCAAGGAAATGCCAGCCTGGGGGGCTTCCCCATTGGTCGTCCTGGTGCGGGGGGTTTGATGCCTGGAATGCCAGGGACCAGGATTATGATGCCTGAAATGCCTGGAATTGATAACGACAACTGGGAGATGCCTAAGACTAAATCTATGCCAAGAGGAGACTTGTCAGGTATTCAAGCTGCAAGACGCAGCAACTCTTCTTTACATTCCAAATCCACAACCCTGAACTCAAAGTTGCTACCTCAAGGAAGTGGCGGTATTATAAGTGGAAGTAGTGCCCTAGTGCATGGAGGTGGTATCCTTTCTGCTCGCCCATCAAACTTTGGTTTAGGTACTGGGGCTGCATCTAAATCCCCTTCACCTCCTAAAACAGTCTCTGCTGTCTCCTCGGAGAAGCCACAGGCTCCAGCTGCTATATTGAATTCTGACAATCTTATTCTTCGCCGCAAAACTGTCGCTCTTCTGGAAGAATATTTCAATGTTCGGCTTTTGGATGAGGCATTGCGGTGCGTGGAGGAACTAAAATCTCCATCTTACCACCCTGAGGTAGTTAAGGAAGCCATTTCCCTTGGACTTGATAAAAGTCCACCATGCGTTGAACCCGTTGCCAGTCTTCTTGAGTATCTGTTTGTGAATAAGATCCTTACAGCTAGAGACATAGGGACTGGCTGTTTGTTATTTGGTTCTCTGCTGGATGACATTGGCATAGATTTACCTAAAGCGCCCAATAATTTTGGTGAGATAATTGGGAAACTAATTTTGGCAGGGGGATTGGATTTTAAGGTGGTGAACGAGATCCTGAAGAAGGTGGAAGATGACCTGTTCCCGAAAGAGATATTTGAAACTGCAGTACGGGTAATTACATCTGCATCTGGGCAAGCTGTGTTGGATGCACAAACAACTGACATTGAGGCTTGCCAGAGTCTGCTCAAGTGAATCAAAATGACTTAGCATGAGAATACCGGCTTCTCTAACTGGATGGACATCTCTGCCTTCTTTCGCCACTTACAAATTCCCATATCTTGACCCCCACTTTTGAGTAAGAGCATTTTGTATGAAAGTCTGTTATAAAGTAGAGATTCCAGTGTCAGGTATTTTTATTGAGCTGTATAATTTTGTTTTATTTTTGATTATTGAGGTCGTAGAGGTGTTTTTGAGGGAAAAGTCAACCATAAAGCTACGGATTTTGTTTTGCGGTTGGCTAATCATCCGCCAATTTCTTCAAAAGAATGGCCCATTAGGGGTCCAAATGTTTTTTTGTTTCATTAGTTTCAATTTTAATTTTGTTGACAGAGTAATTGTTTAACTGGTCAGTTCATAAATATCATTGTCGTTATATCCTCAAGCTCGTTTCGGTTTTTAATATTTTACATAAATCCAAGGCTCAAGCTTATTTTCCCTGAGGGTATGTATGCCCAACGTGAAGTTCTCAGACATTTTTTGAACTGCTTGTGGTTGTTTGCGTATTTTAATGTTCATCTTGTTTCTCGTTCAGCATTATTTGAAACTTTTTTTATACTGGCGGTACCTTTATCAATTTTTTTAATATTGTTTTGGGGTGAAGAATTACCCGTCCCAGAAGCAGAAAAAGCGCCTTCTGCTGGAACAACTTGGTTTGTACTTGTATCGCAACTATCAAGTTCTTCTTCTTGTGTTATAAGCTGTATGAATTTAAGTTCTTGAATGGTCGACTCCTTTAGAAATAAGGTGGTAAGATAGAAAGATGTGTGGTGGATCTTGTTTTGGCCTCAGGTCGAATGTTATGGTGTGGTTTAAAGTTGGCCACATGATGTCCCATTTGAGTATGGAACGAGGTGCAGTGAGTGGCTGAGTGAGCTTTTGAGGATCCTCAGCTGAGGGAGACTAATTAGAGTTATTATTTGGGTCGTCATGACCTTCCTATGACGTTAGAGCAGGAATTTTCTAGGACAGCAGGTCTTAAGGGACCATTACTCTGTTGCTGGCAGACATTTGAGTGGTAGCAAGCAACTATCATGTTTTTTTCAAGCAAGGGGTGATGTGCACATGTAAAGACTCTTTGAGCATGCAAACCTCTACTTTTTGGAGTTAGGTGTAACTCTCAGCATGTAGCATGGTGTAACTCTCTAGAGTGTTGCATTTGAAGCCCGTTTTTAAGTCCTAGTCCGAGAGTTGCCACTTTTCTTCCAGGTTTTAGTGGCTGGAGGTTGTGATGCCACGGCTTGAGGTTATTCGGTTGTTCCCGATGTAAGACCCTCCCTAGGTCAAACACGTTGCATTAACTGTTAAACATGAGTAGTGATACTAAATAAAATTCAACATAACAAGCAGTATCAAAGATTGACATACATAATATGTCATATACAGAGCTAATGTCGTGTGGCCTACAAGTTACCGCACACAGTTTCCTCAAATTAGGTACATACCAGGAGTTGCCATTCGCTACCACTCACTAGTCCCTACATCTATATGTACACATACAATAAATTTTTTAAGGGAACAAATCCATTTACAAATTTTTTCTTACAAATTGCACTAAGTATGATAGGTCATACATTATTGATTAAAGTATGACCGGTCAGACACAATATAGTTTGTAAGAGTTTGTAAACAAAAAGGTTATAAATATAACCTTCTTCATTTTTTAATATTTCTGTTTTTATTGTATTTTTTTTTCTATCACATTCATATAAAATTGAGTGAGTTTTGTCTTGTTTTCCCTCATAATGAAATGTATTTCCTTTTATGTGAGTGTGACAAAAAAAATATTGCTGCAATAAAAATGGAAATATTATTCCCTTAGAAAAAAGTGAAACCCCAAAAGGTAAAACTAATGCATCCCCAAGTCAATATCTAAAAGATGAAAACATCTATGTAGTTTCCTCGGAAAGTGATCTGCATCACCCATTGATTTTTTTTATTTTTTTTTGAAAGATGAATGCATCACCCATTGATTGTTGTAGAGCATTATCCACCATATGGTGAATTATTCTCTAGCCTTCTAAATTGGAAGGGTTAAATAATAACAAGAAATGTGAGAATAAATTTCAGTGATCTTGTGGTTAGTACTTAGTGTCAATCCTACAGGCAAGAAAAGTATTAAGGCATCTCGAAACGAGAAATAGATTGGTTGTGCTATATATATATACATGGTAGTCACCGGTGAATTGTCAAAACAAGTTTTAGAACTTAGAAAGATTGTTAATGCATGGCTACCTCTCTAAACAATTATTCATTTGTTAATTTTACTTTTCTCTTCCGAGTACAATAATAAGATTGTTATATATAGAAAAAACTTTATTAATCTCATGCAATAGAAGAGAACTCTCTCATGCAATACAGATAATCATGTGTGGGATCCGCTCACTATAAAAAAAGAAAAAAAGAAAAAAAAAATAACACGAAAATCGATGTATGTGTAGGAGAGAAAAATTCTCTCCTACAACATAAGAATATATTTTTCCATATAGAAATGAGAAACTGGTGTCCTATGGTTTAATACTATCCGAGTTAATTTTTCGTTCATGTTACATTATGTGAATTGTATTGAGTATGGTAATGCACCTTGAGCAAGCTAGACATGCATTACATTTATGGATCTTCTCGTGTAGATAGATTCTTATAACAATTGAAGCATATTACAGAACTATTGACGTTTGGATTAGGGGGTAGTCACACGTCGATGTTTGTGAACTTTCAAACTTGACACCTTTCAACATTGGCTATTATCACCGTTGTTCAATCACTATCTTCCTTTAACCCTTTTTCATAATCTTTCTTCACGTTCAAAAGGTTACTTGTATCTATAATGGAAAGATTATAATTCATTTGTCGTGTTACGTGCCTTTGCCTGCCTATGTATTTCAAGAGCCATATAAAGGAAAGCCACAAGTTCCTACGTCCCATATTTTGATTGTGACTTGAAAATGAAGAAACGGTCCAATCACATTTTTTTTTTTCACATTTCAAGATTAGAGACATCTCACCAATCATCACATGTTTTTGTTAGATTGATCTGCTTCCATTTTGAATATTACAATTGGATTTATGAAATAATGTTTAGTAAAACTTAATTCTTGCTTTTAGATTAGATTTTTATTTTGGTCTTCCAAAATTATGTGTCATCATCAACTTGGTTTCCATTGATAAATAGATTAAATTAGTCCTTCGATATTATTTTTTTTCATTGTTCATTAAAGTCTTATCAAACTAGTTAATAAATGATAAAGTTATAATATTATTTGCCATTGAAAATCTTATTTGATGTCGAAATAAATAGATAGCCAATGTAGTGATAATTATATTTTTGAAAGATTAAAATGAAACATTTAATTAGAATCCATGTGCTTGTCTTTTTTTTTAGGAAAAAAAATGGTTTTTAATTAAAAATCTTTCATACGATTCATAATAATTACATAATTTTTTTTAAAAAGTAAAAAATAAATAAAATTTATTTATAATTTTTTCATAAACTAAAAAAAATAATTTATAATAAAGTCAATGATAAAATCATGATATTTTTTATTAAAAAAAACACATCTTTAAAGTTGCTTTTATTGTTAAGTAATTTGGACAAAAATGGGTTTTGGTGTAAGATTAATATACGACTTTTCGGTTGGTGTCAAACCAACTAATTACATAGGGCCGGCTACGTTCTAATATAGTTAATTTCTGCTTTTTCCCGTGTTATCAATTTATCATATTTTTTAAGGGAAAATATTTATGAGATAAAATTATCTTCAACACTCCAAAACTATATTCTATATTGTTTTGGGAAAAATATTTTAGAACTTTTGTTTGTTTTTTATTATATGAATTTTAATAAAACACTTTCGTTAATTCCTCAACCTTCAAAATAACGTAGTTTTGGAAGTTGTTGGAGATAAATTTATCTCATAAACTCTATTTTTAAACCATATATCATTTATTTTCAATTTAAATTATTTTAAACATTATTCTAATTTTAGCTATTTTTTAATTTATTTTTTTAAATTTTATTTAAATTAATTATATATATATATGTGTGTGTGTGTGTGTGTGTTTTTATTAGACAAAGGGCCATTTTTCATATATTTTTATTTAAACCTTGATTTTATTTTAATGTAAAGCTAATTTTTCATATATGTTGCGTAAGAAAAAAAAACCATATTTAGTTTAACTAATGATTTTGAATTTAAATCCTGCATGTGGCGAAAAAATTTGGTGGAGAGAAATTGACCACTCTTATAATCTTGTGCAGCTGGACCGGAGTAATTGATGAATCGGTAAATTAAAAAGAAAAGAAAAGAAAGTATACGTATAAATTCTTAATATAAAATTAAACCGCGATCTTTCACACATGAGCCCACCACAAGTCCACAACAACTGGTTGTTTGATGATAAGGCTCTAATATTTTATAGCTGTATGGGTGGGGTCCAAGTTCTTATGATAATATATATACACGAAAAAGGGGTCTTCAAAGCATCACTAGGGTTGTTGGTGCTTGCTTTACTTAGCAATCAGCATTAAGCATAATCGTAGGTATGACCCAAACAAGGTCCATGGTGAATGTGTATATCCTCTTTCTCTTGTTAATGTCCCATTTCCTTCCAACTTCAGCTGATGAGGGAGCCTTGAATGCACAAAAAACTGAAGTTCATAGCCATGAACATGAACTTGTACAAAAGAGGCTATTGGTAGACACGAGGCATCGACCCTTCCTTAACAAGAAAGAGCTACTTGGGGTTTACACAAGAAAAGGAGGGAATATTGCAAGTCATGTCCGTGGGAGAAATTCCTCAGCAATTCAGAGTCAAATATCTGTATCCCACGCTAGCTTTATTTTTTGCATATCTCTTTTTCTTTGTTTCTACTTAATATAGTGCAAGTGTCTTTGTTTGGTGTTTTGGTTCTTAATTATGGATTGAATGATTGAGGGTGAGTTTTATTTTCATTTTTACTGTTGAAGATTGTCTATGATCCTTGATGGATTTTTGAGTGTTTGTCACTTGTGAGTGAAGTCTTGTGTTCCTAGCCCTCGTGTCCTTGTAGTTTGTGAGTTGTAATGGTAACAAACTGCTTGTACTTTATTTTCTTCTTAGTGACGGTTAATGTACTATACTACACTTTTTAAGGATGTAAATGTTGACATCTCTATTTTTAATTTAGGAATGGTTAAAAATTGTGTTTGATAAAATTAATTTATTTTTCGTTTTTATAGAATGATCCGCTAACTCAAGAACAAATTTATTATTATTTTTTCCACGAGCTGAAAAACAGAATGGTTATCTATTAGGTGAAGAGAAGTTCTACTCTGTTGGAAGATTATGTAGTCATAGTGGCACGTAAGTAGTTTAATAGAATAATTAGCTGATGTAGAAAGTGCACAATGA